TAACCAATGCACAATTAATGAATGCACAAATGACTTAACTGTCATGGGTGAAACTTTGGCAGCTATAAATCAGCCTTATGTCTTTGGTAGGATGTGTCTTTTTCACTGGAAGAAAAAATGTCTCATGTGGCTGTAACATACCACATAGTAGCAACATTTAAGAATGGGATGAGAGGCCAGTTTGCACTCTCTATAATTAGAGTCTTGGAAATGCTTACAGGACATAACTGGAATATCCATATCTTAAACTTCTTCTATAATTCCATCTCATTGACCAAGTGATAGCTTTCCACTACATGTGCAAATAATCTCTTAATAAGCACATTCTTAATCTTAAACAGTACAGAGTAAATGCAACGATTTTCCCTGATAGTTTTTATTGCCCTATTGTTTTGTACCAGATCATAAAATCAAAAGAAGCAAAAGACAGGCTTAAGCTTAACATGTGAGAATGAAACAGCTTACCAGATGATTATATTAATGCCATAGTAATGGACTACATCCCAAATGGTGATCTCTATATATTTTAGAACACTTCTTTCAATTTAATGTGCTGGATTATAATTTTTAGCACTTCTGCATAACACAGACAGAGTAGAAGTTGACAAAGCATATAGTCAGCAATTTACTAAGTTGCCACTTACTTCAGTACACTACTTGTTAAACTTGTCATTTTACCATCTTGGTTTTGGTAAGAAGTTTATTACATATCTACCATGGATGAAAAAACTGGGAACTGAGGGGATAATATAATTTCTTTCTAGGACATTACAGCCACCCAGGCCTTATATCAGGCTGACATAATTAATGGGAGGAATAGAGCCAATTGTTTGGTGCTGTTGATATATGCCAGAAGGTGTGGATGAAGTTGATGCAATGACATCACTGGAAGATCTGAAAGACCAAATTAGGGACAGATTGTCATGCAGAAAACCTATCTATGTTGTCACTAAGAGTCAACAACAACTTGATGGCACATAATCAATATGCATATATCAAGTACAATAGGCTAGATCCAGACTAAAAACAATAAACTTGATTACAAGTATAGCCCTCCTGAAATCAACAAGGCTTAACTGAAATTAATATTAATTTAATGACTCTAAGAATATTTCCACACTATTATTCTTCCACTTCCTGATTTTGCAAAAAAATCCATTCTACAAACCTGCCAACTTCAAAATGCCAAAGATGAGAAGCAAAGATCACTGACCCACCCAGAGCTGCCAGAAGTTCTCCACTAACAAAAATCCCCTCAAGGAGAAATAAATTGCCTCATACACACCTATATTCTTATTATTTGTTCTTGTCTGATGGTATGTAAAATAAAAACCAGATAAAACCCAAACTCTGGGCATGGTGAGGCAGGAGTTCTGATGAAGGGGAAATAATCATCCACAGGTTCAAATGAGCCAAGGTATTATCAAATAAAAAAGTATTTTCAGATGCCCATAGCTGAGCCAGAAACAAATTAATTCAGCTTCTAAACTGGGCAATATAATGAGCTCAGAGGTCTAGAGCTATTCTTAAATTAATGCAGAGCTCTCACTTAGAAATAACATCCATGCCAGGAATACAATACTGCTGCAGGAAGCTAAGAAACAGCTATTATTTATTCTTAAATGCCTTTGAGATCAGGTGATTTTAACAGAATATTTGACTTCCAACCTTTGGTTTTTCAATTTTGAGAAAAGAATATAGGCATTATCATGGAGGCGACATTGAGCCTTTTCCCAACACACATTTAAAATACTACCCACCCATCCTGGAACCAGAAGAAAATGTACTGCTGTCAGCATTTTGAGGTAAATAGACAGGAAACCCGTAGAATTTTCAGGGATGCTTTTTATTGCTCTAGGATATAATAGCAATATCTTGAAACTAAGCCAGTCAGAATTTTTGTCTACTATATCTTATACCAAACAAAATCAAGGCAGGATTATTCTTTCTAAACGTTCTCCTCCCAATGGTTCATCTACCCTTTCCTCATTCTCCTCACCTCCAGCATGTGCAGGTAAAGGGTTTTGAAAAAAAGCATCAAATTTGCAACTAAAGCCACTCTTAAAAACAATAAAAACCTCCCCAAGTTCAACAGGATACTTTTTCATAAGTGTGGCATCTTGAGCCTGCCCAGGAGGTGATCTGCAATTTCTGCCAGGTGGCAGGAAAGTCTGATTTGAAAAAGGTAGATTCTCTGTCTCTCCTTGAAAGACAATGATCCTGGAGGGAGATGCCCAGGGACCAGAAGGGAAGGTTGTCCCCACACCAGCCTGAAATGGCCAATAGGTGCCAGGACAATTCATCCCCTTTGGCTACCTGACTGAATCACCGATAACAAAACACATGATATTTTGCACACTTTTATCTAGCAAGATGCCTAGTGTTACAAATTTACAAATTTATCATGGATATCTCCTTTAATGCTGACTACCCTTCCCAACTAAAATAATGGGAATTTACTAGACCTCAAAGCAATGTCCCACTCTTTAGCACTATTTTTCCTTCTTAATAATACATCTAAGCCTTCATAACCTCCACTAGCAATCCTAGAAAATAAAAATGTTAAGTAGTTGCAGCCCGTGCTTAATTTGGAAGTGTACTTGACTGCTCAGAGTAAGGAAAAGCTGATCTGAGAGCATCTTAAGGTCTAGAGAGATCAGCAGGAATATTCTCACTAGTCAGCATAAGTTTCTATCATGTGCTATCAAATTCTCAAATGCCCCAAAAGTTGAAGTTCTTGGATTAAGTGAGTAGGATGAACCTTAGGAACAATGACATTGTTGGCATTTGGATGTCTTCTGTTTCTTCAATCTGCTACAACTCCGCTGCAGATAGATACAAGTTCTGCTTGAGGTTTTGCATCTCTCCCCCTTCTGAAGAAGGCATGCTGTCTGCCTTGTCTTTCCTCACACTGAGTTGATATGTACTCACGGTAATTCTTTGTTAGCAGGGTATAAAGAAATGGGTTGATGCAACTGTTGCTATAAGTCAAGCAGGTAACACCAAAGTTGAGGTAAGCCTGAGCAGTAGAACCAATCTCCAAGTCCATTGACCAGTACAATTTGGCTAACTGCCAGGCCCAGAATGGTACAAAGCAAGCCCAATAGGCCACAATGATGCTGAAAATCCTGGAGAACAGCTTCTGTTTCAACATTCGGCCCGTCACCTGAGTCTGCATAGTTTTTGTAGAAATCCAATAGCTCCATGCAAGACGTGAGTACAGTATGGCTAGGACAAGGCCAGGTGTTAGGATGCTAGTGCCAAAGAGAATTGTGAGGTAAACTCGGAAGGCATCAGGTGTCCATGTGGGAAAGCAAATATGTTTATGGCTTCCACCTTCCCGCTGCTGGATCATGACCATCATTGGTATTGTAAGTAACAATGACAGAAGCCACACAGCAATGCTGGCAACCTTATGATAACTGTTCCCAGCAATCCTAGCCTTTAGTGGTCTGGTCACTGCCCAATAACGTTCCAAGCTCATGGCCGTCAGCAGAAAGATGCTGGCGTGCATTGTGAGCAAGTCCAAGCTAAGTAAAAATCTGCATCCTGCATCTCCAAAGAACCAGTCCTGGGCAAAATATGTACAAACCACGAAGGGGATGGTGGAAAGGTAGAGTAAATCTGCCAATGCCAAGTTAATAACGTACACACACAAACAGCTTGCTGAACGAATTGCCATGCTGCCAAACGCCACCACCAGTGTATAGATATTCCCTGTCATCCCAACGAGGCACATCAGGAGGAGGATTGCTCCCAAAACTCCTGTGAGAGAACTCTGCTCCTTAAAGTCAATGTCTTCATCTGAGAAATTGCCCCAGAATGATTCTTCAATGAGTTCTGCCATTACTGGGTAGCCAAAAGGCACTCCAATGCTACAGAAAACTACCATAGACACATTTTGTGCCTCACGTGTGTGGCAATTAAGATCAATAATGAAGGATGGGAATGCTGATGGGGAAAAAATACAAAATAGGTTGGTTATGAGAAAAAGAACTTATTCTTCATAAGGAATGATGGCAATGTCTTCTTTGCGTGTCATGCTCAGCAATGCTTCTTACCATTCCTTAGAGAAAGACCATGACTGTAAGAAGTACATCCATTGCATTTTATGAATTAAACAGCATGATTTCTTCTTCTTTTTGTTTTCAGCCTCCAAAGATTGTGTCCTCTGTGCATCTGTGGGTCTCAACTTCTCTCTCTATTCCAGTATTTATCTACTAGCCCATTAGTGCAAATCAATCTTCTTGAAGCAATCCAACTGATTTCTTCCTCACCTCTTCTGCTGTCCAACTGTGCCCTACTCAAAAATAACATTCCCCTTTACGGTGGATGAATGTGTCTGACTCATCACTTCACACTCAGATGCTAACATTCTCAGCAATAACTACTGGACTGTTAGCTAATGAAGAATGGCACTGTGTATTTAAACCACCATGTCTTCCCACCCATCTAACTCCCATTTTCTTCCTTCAGCTTTGTGAATCTAAGGAAGTCTACATAAGCTTGAAAAAGTCTCCTTCAAACTAATGTCAATTCTTGATGATTCCAAAAGTACACTCATGAAGCTTTCTTTTCAGCATACCATTGGACTTTTTGTTTTAATTTTCTAGTCCCTGATATTTCTTTGTAACCTCCCATCCCACTAATAAGTCTGATTCTTGTCAGCTTAGCTTTTGAAGGAAGATGCTGTCATCTAATAAGAAAAACAGGCATGACAGGTTAGAGATAATTAAAATGTATTGGGAAAAGATACCATTGATCCTCCATTCAATTGGTTTAATTATGAAAAAAAATTAATTAAGGATTGTTGTTTTTCATTTCTCTGATTCACTTTCATTTCTGTTGGATTGAAAAATAATAGAAAAATATTTCAAAGATTGCCCACATGGGTGAAAATGTGCAAGAGAAAGAGTAATAGAGGATGGAATAAACAAATGGATCCATCAATAGTTCATATTAACAGAAACAGCAGCACATGTGATTTTTTTTTAAAAGAATTGGGAACCCAGCAGGATATGCATCTTTTATGGCTCATCAAAACTGTCTTGTTTGTTCAGTTTGCTTGAATGTGGATAGAATTGATGCAATGAGGCAGACAACCTTTTCAGGGGTGTCCGCAGGCTATGATAAAAAAAAAATCAAGATGAAATCAAGGTTCCATCTCTATTTTATGCATGTACAACACATAAAAAACAGGCAAAATTTTGATTACACCATCACAGCTGCTATACTGGCTTTTTTTTAACCATGTCTTGTGGACGCTTCTCGCTCTTTACAATCATTTCCATTTGGGTGTTAGTTTTATTCAAAGGATGAAAGAGACTTGCTCCAATGATACAGTGATATATAGCAACGGGAGGTTGAGGCACGTTTAAAGATAAAAATGGATGCATTGACCCATTCATTTTAAATTTCAGGTTTTTGAAAAAAAAACATTAAAAAGTATACTGCCAAAATCAGCCATTTGGTCATCAAACTTTAATGAAACAGTTCTGAGGTTCTTTAACAAACCATAGTGAGGAACAAAGGATGCTGTGTAGTCTAAATATGTCTTGCCGCCTCTGATTAGGGCATTGTAGAAAAGCTAGAATTTTCATATCATTTGGGTAGGAAGCCAATAAAGTTATAGGCAGCAGAAAATTGGCTGGCTCTCACATTGGTATTGCTGGGGAAAGTGAAAAGAATGCAATTGAAAGAATGAACAAGACAATATAAAGTAGCATTTTGTACACCTCAGCCTTTAAAAGGAGCTTGCCAATCGTCTACAGGCAGCTTTAAGAGACAGGTCCATAGCCCTTTCCTCCCCACTTTCCTTTGAAGAAAATTTCAGAGCACAAGCACACCAAAGATGGCAACCTATCATATGGACCTGAGTAAGTAGAAAAATGGGAAAGAATGGTAGGCCTGGAATCAGAATAATCACAGAATGACAGGCAAGTGGATACTGACACAACCATCATCCTAGTGGCCCTTCACATTCCTGCCAATGTCTGCAAAGCCCACCAGCCAATCAGAAGCAAGCAATAGTAGTACGAAAATGGGAATGTGCATATTTTGATCAATGCAAATAAACTGTTCAATTTATTGAAGGGCACTGCAGTAGCATCCATCAGCTGCTTTACATCAGTCTTTGTGCTGCTTATTTCTATACCAAGTGTAGTTCAGGGTCAAAATAACAGAGGACTTTGAGGGACAGATGTCCAGCAGTATTTTGGCAGAGGGCGGTACAAATGGATTTTATTTCTTTCAACGTTTCTTCCTGTTCTGAGAGAATGCATAGGCTGCTTTGACTCCAGAAAGTCTTTTCTTCTGTGTTATCCAAAAACTGTAGACCAAGATAACAGCAGCAACTCACTCTTCCCCAGAGATGTTAATGTTTGATCCTAAAATTAGCTTCAACTGTAAAAAAAAAAAAAAAAAAGTGAAAATCTATTATATTATAAATCTACTATGGCAAAAATAAACAGCCATAGGCAAAGGGGGGATAATTCTGCAACGCTATATTTACACTGATTTTATTGTTGGCCATATGACATAATTTATTTTAAAATTACTTTTTTAGTCCTGATGGTTGACAAGCTAGAAGGGTTGCGGGCACTGCCTAGTGGCAGCAAGAGATATCAGCTGCATTTTACTACCCAACAGCATATAGCCATGCTGGCCACATGACCAGTGAAGCATCTTTAGACAATGCTAGCCCCCCTTAGTTAAGAAATGAAGGTGAGCACCACCCCCTAAAGTTGGACACAACTGGACAGGGAAAAGCTTTACCTTTACCTTAAAGGTCCTCTTGCCTTGTGACTAGTGAAAGCATAATCATTTCAGCAGTGTAAGTAATGTGACATGCTTGTGTTATGTTGGGAAAAAATAAAGGATATAGAACAGGACATCGCTTGTTCAACTCTCATACCTGCCCAATCTACCTAGATGACCTTCCTGTTCTTATAGGTCAGTGCAGAGTTTCTCAATCTCAGCAACTTTAAGATGCATGAACTTCAACTCACAAAATTCTGCAGACAGCATGCTGGCTAGGAAATTCTGGGAACTGAAGTCCATACATCTTAAAGTTGCTGAGGTTGAGAAACGCTGGGAGTGTTTCAGAACACATTTGGAGTGTTCAGAACATGTAGAGGGCAATCTTGCAACAGTCACGAACTAGCTTCCATGGGGGACAGAACTAGTTACAAAACATTAGTTTAACAATTAGTTTTACCTACCATCTTCTCCCTACTCTGATTGTTTACCTTGGTCCTTGTTCTGGGTACATTGGCATACTCACAAACAAGCCACTGAACTGTAGTCTCCCATTAAGCTTACAAGGTCCATTTGATCCCTACAGTATTTTTAGAGGTTGCCACTTTACCATAGAGCCAGATTGGTGTAGTAGTTAGGGTATCAGGCTGGAAACTGAGAGATTGTGAGTTCTAGTTGTGCCTTAAGCAAAATGCTATCTGGGTGACCTTGGGCCAGTCTCTCTTAGTCCTAGGAAGAAGGCAATGGAAAACCACTTCCAAAATCTTACCAAGAAAACTGCATGTTGTCAAGGCAGTCAGCAGAAGTCAACGTTAACTCAAGGCAAGTGGAGACACATATGCACAAAGATACACAGAGTTTTCAATGTAGCTTGCCACTCCTTACTGCTTAATTTATTTATTTTAATTTATCAAGTCAGGAGGGGAGGAACACCAAGAGAAAAATCAGCAACCCCTTTAGGGCGACGCCCTGTCTACAATCTCTCATGGTTGAATAGAATGAAAATATCCTCTTGGAACTTACTTGCATACTCCTGGGGCGTCATGGGCTGCTTTATCACATGGCTAAAGACAGCTTTCCATTCCTCCTGATCTTTCTCCGTCTCACAGGTGAAGATGTAGTTGCGGTCAGGAGTTACAATAATGATGCCATGTTTCCAGGTGAACCTACCCTGCATGTCATGTGGCAATCCTTTTATGACTTTATATCCTTGTTCCTCATTACCCAGGAAAACTTCACCTTTAGCAAAAGCATCCTGCATGGGATAAGAAAAAAAAATACATCTGTCTAAAAACCATTTTGGGATTCTAGACTATAGTTATAACTTATAACAGAATGCTGTCAAGATGCTCTGGTTGTTTCCCCTGAGAAGGAAGAAATTTTCCAATACTTTAGCTACGTACAACACCCTAACCTTAGAAAGAGGAGCAGCAGCTGGTAGAACTGAAATTTGACATAGATGGTTTTTGGGGGGCTACAGAACTGAGTTCAAAAACCAATAGCCCTATTTTTATTTCAAGCAACAAAATGACCATGTTTCTGTTGGACAAATATTTACTTAAATACCTGAGCAAATGAGGAAGCTGAGAGAAAAGGCAAAATCAATTACTGGCTTACCAAAGGATCTTTGAAGTACATCAGCCTTCGGTGATCCAGACTGAACCAGCGCTTCTTGAAACACTCCTTTTGCTGTGAAAACCAACCACAGACATTTATAAGAGAAGAGAGCCCTCACCTGGTCATTCTTTGGAAGCAGCATTAAAAACAACTTCAATTCCTAACCAATGCTATAGAGTCAACTATTAGAGTGGACATTTTGGGTTTATTTGTTTCCTTTGTTGCTGTTTTCACATTTACCAGTCAATCTTTCCAAGGACATTACAATAAAAAATTTCACATATAATACTAAGCCGGACTGGACTTTGTGACTTAAAATAACCACAGTGTACTGTTTAGTGTGTTTTATGTCAACACAGGGAGATGCAATTTAATCAATAAATCAAATTCATTTTTAATTCTGGACCAGCCATTTTTTGAGTTTAGATCTTATAATGCTTTTGAACTTTGATATTAGAGAAGACTCCAGAGAATACCTTCAATACTTCTTGGCTGGCCAGTAAACAAACCAATGGTTTAATGAACAAATCAACTCAAAGTTCTCACTCATGGCAGAAATGATGAGGCTCAAATTATCCTACTTTGGACATATCTGCAAAGATCTAGTTCTCTGTGGGAGGCTCAGATGCTGGGTAAAGTGGAATGAAAAAGAAGAGGATGACCAGCAGCAAGGTGGATAGACTCGGTTACAGTAGCAGTAAGTGCACCATTGGAAGAGCTGAAGGTTCAGTTTAGAGAAAAATCATGATGGAGAAAATCTAAGAGTCAACAACAACTTGAT